TCCGAGAGAGTTATTATTGTTATAGTCCTTTAGTGGTTTTAGGTTTTCACTTGGACCACGTGCAGAGTAAAACCAAGAATTATATCCAAACTTATCCTGTCATGCCTGACGTCGCTCAGCAATAACAAGGTAAATCACTGTAGAGCTGCCGGCAGGTAAGACTTCCTGCAACGGCAAGGATGGTTAAACAACAAAACAAGCACCCGTTCAGACAGGTTTAGTCTTATCTTTTAAAATGTATAGATATTTATATATCTAAAGTAACTAACATATTTATATGTTTGTACGTTTTTTTTTAAGAACTGAAATCCTACCTTTTTACATTTTTTGTGAGATGTTAATATGATACTCAGTGAAGACTGCTCTTTTTCCAGCGTTGTAAAATCAATCATGTTACCTGAGGATTATCATAAGCACATGCTCAGTGGTGTTACATAGTAACTGTATTCTTAAATGAATAGATTTCAGATGCATCGTATATGGGAAACAGTCCGAATTATATTTGAGCAAATACTTTATTATTTAAGCCTGGACGTCAACTACAAAGACACCACAGTACTGGACGCACTGTTTACTTGTCTTTTGAGGTTTTCAACAAAATTAGTCAAGGACAGTGGCAGAAACGTTATGTTTATTTTTCTTCACTCTTCATCCATACTTCATTGAAAAGATAACTACAAACATGTGTGTGTGTAGTCGTTCTCTGAGGGATGCAGTAAGTTGAAATAAATGGAGCAGCTAGCTCTAGACGGTCAGTTAATTTTTTTTTCTTTCAGAGAAAATTGAACCTTTTAGTTGTGAATAGTCTTTAATAGGCATGAAGTGAAGGCTGAAGGATTCTGACTAGTGTGAACTAAGATTAGCCGACACCAAATTTACTGCTTGTTCTTAATATGCTGTAGGTTTTCCTGTTTTTTTTCTTGGGCTCACTTGGCCAGCGTTAGTATATATATAATTGTTTTTGATCTGCTGACAACTGCTTTTAGCTGTGAAATATTTGTCCTAATCATATGTTATAATTGTTTGGTCGAGGCCAAAAGAAGCATGTCATTGTTTTGCTATTGTGTTAAATGAATGTTTAACTTTGATTTGGTCTTTGGCTTGTGAATGTGTTGGATGGCCGTTGTTCAGACGTAGCTGCTCTTGTCTTGTGCTTCGCTCTGATTTAAACCATGGAAGAAAACAATAGGAAAGGAAAAGAGAAAATAAGATTGTAGGGGTTGGAAAGCACGGTCAGCGGAACTCTGGCTAATCTTAAGGGCCGTGACGAAAATTTGGTGTGACGCAGCGAGCAACCACCACATCACTCAGGAGACACTTTAACAGCATAGACCAAGATGCAGAAACAGTTACACAGGGGTCTTAAGTGCACCAGCGGTCATTAAAATAGCATCCACTGACAGATGCTCATTGTAATCATTTTTCAGATATTGAAAATTACAGCCCACTGTGATTTATATAGTAACCACTTCCATTAGTGGCTTGACACTTGCAAGGCAGGTGTGTTTTTTTCGAGCAGACCCAAATGATTTATGAGCCTGTGCTTTTGAAATCACACATTAAAGACGTTGTGTAGTCCTCTACCCCCTCACCCTGTACTTCCACTACAAATACCGTTAAAGCGCAGCGTCAGTGGCCAAGCCTTGTCTCCGCCATGTGCAGGACTGTTGTTTGCACATTTTGCAGTATTAATTAAGATGTCTAAACACGCAGGCCAACACATGTGGAGACTTCAGCCTGTGTATATATTACAGCAGGTCAGCCAGTCACTAGGCCTCTTCTCACTATATTCTCATGAACCTTGATATGGCTGTGCATGACCACCCACTCACATGCCTGTGTCCTTTTTTTCCCTTACCTATTTTAATACAATAGACCCCAGAGGCAAACAGAGAAGTCTAAACACTTTGGCGTGCTCGAACATATTTGCTCCTTAGTTTACAAAGGAAGTGCGTACCCATTAACCTTGTGGTTGTGTTTTTCTAATACGTAACTTAAACAAACATACCTGCAGAGTTAACAACCATTTTAAAACACAGCAAACCTAAGATGGACTCGATACTGTGCATACTTTCATAAATGTGAAAATCTTAAAGTAAAATGTAATTAGTGGCAGTCTTATCTTATCTTATTTTCCCAAATAGCTTTTGGAATTAGCGCATAAGAAGTACATTAGCACATTAGCACATTAGGCAGTTGCCTAAGTCTCCTATTTAAAGTGTTACGTTTATTGGTTGTTTCTCCTTCGGACACAATCAGCCATGTTTTATTGAAAGGTTCTCTTTGTGAAAAACAGGCGTCTAGACTGTGCAGTGTAACAGCTGGTAGGCCGGGAGTGTACATATTCTTTCTCATAAAGACGAGGGACTTTCCAAGGAGATGTAGCTTTTGTCTTTTTACTGTTCCGTGGCTGCACACTTATTAACTAACACTGACGTGTCTATAAACACTCACAGGCCACACATACAAGTGAACTGTGGCTGTGGGGGAGATTAATTCATGAAGTGAAAGAGGAAAAAGTGAATTCATCCAGAGAGGCTGCATAACAGAAGGTAGAAAGGTGATTGATATGCTTTTTTTTACCCACGGTCAACTCGCTTTCATCTCTTTCCCCGTGCACAGAGTTGAATATTAGCTAAACGAAAGCTAGATTCATGTTTCAGCAATCAGTCCCAAAGTGAGTGGCTGTGTTAATTATGGCGCTTGTCATATTCGGTTTGTTGTGTTAGTTTGGTCCTTTCGGCAGCAGCGCTGCCACTGAGGGGAGCTGGAGAGGTGCTGATGGAAGAAACGCTGTGATTAAGGGAAGTGAGGAAACACAAGGAGCAACGCCGCAATAGAAATGATTTGATTTGATATAAATGTACAACAAAATTACACCCAGGCCCAGGAGGTGATGCATGAGCTCATTTCAAAACAACAGAAAAACAAAGTTAGTTTGAAGGAACAAGTGCCAGACTGTGTGTGTGAACTGTGTTGGTTTTTACCTGTTTATTTTGGACTCTCTTTCCCAATCTGCCAAAGAGGAACTGATTTTTACCAGAATATTGCTAAAGGCCATTTACTTCCTCCTGTTAACTGTTAGGACTCCTAATGAGTGATTTAATTAAGTGTTTGGGGTTTTTTGTTTCTTTTTCTGTTTACCTATTTTACTTTCTCCTTGCTTTACCAAACATTTACTCATTAGAAGGAGACTGACTGCATCAGGACTATTTGTCCGTAAGAATGATTGTCAGAGCTCTGGGCTCAGACACTAGAACGCTGACGTTCTACAGTTTATATCTTTGTCAGCTTTGTGTCTCAGCAGGGAAATCCATGACGGATTAGATTATTTATAAATTGATAAAATGTGTTTCACATACTCTGTCCACTATCCCTCTGTCAATCCCCCTTTCCTGTATAATCATATATTTGACTTTACTCAATGTCCCTGGGAGGAATTCCCTGTTTTTGGTCTGTCCTGTAAGACTTTAGACTCAGTGGAGAGCAGTCATAAATCACTATGCTGCCACAAGCAGGAGTGCTGGAGTGTGTATTCACGTGTTTGCATGTGTGTGTTGGAAGCGGCTCTGTTTTGCTTTTCATGCGTGTTCATCATCAAACAAATCCTATCTGTTGGTGGAGAGGTGATATCGGGAATGCCAGGAGCATACGGAGAAGGCTTGTTGTGTTGTTCTTCCTCTCTCTGTTAGTTATTTCCTGGTGCTGAGATATGACCCCTGGCGTGCTGCTTTCTCCATGAGGCCCTGGCTTCATGTCAGTGATATGGAGGACCAGAAAGTGGCTGCCTGTGTAGCCCCCAGGCTATGGTGTGTCTCACTTTTTGTTTGCCAGTGTTTGCAGCAACATCCTGTTAGAATTGATTGTGAGTCTAGAATGATATCCATCTGTTAAGAGTTTACATCAGAGCTGCAGTGAAATGTGATGGTGCAGAGGTGTTTACAGTGGGCAAGGGTTAGAATGACATAACCAATCAAAGCCAAACCAGCATAAAAGATGGGAAAAAAGTGATTTTATATTAATGATGACATGAAAATTATATGTTCAGGTTTTTTAGATCAGAACATCCAGACGTTTTCTTCCACACGAACGAGGGTTTCACTGACCAAGAGGCGACTGGTGAAGAAAGTGATCACAAAAAATACTGTAGATATATAAAAAATAAATAGAATTGTAATGCCACATTTTTGTAACAGGCTAAGCACATAAAAGTCTGTTGTGTATGGAATTATGTGATATTGTCGATTAGATTTAGCTTTTTACACGTCAATAAGATGTGAAATTATTAGCTTTTTACACGTCAATAAGATGTGAGTTCTGTGATGTTCACAGTGGGAGAGTGGAAATAGGTACAGTGGCAAAGCGTTTCTTTACGTTTCTGCGTGGTAATATTAGTTATGTTGTCAGAATATTTTTCCAGTTTTTATGCTCCACATCTTCATCTTCTTCATCTGTGCCTGAACTCTCCCTGTGTAGTCCTCACTGAGACATTTGACTGGCACCAAGGGACTTTCCCACCAGGCTGAAAGGAAAAGTTCTCTTTGTTGCTTCTCAGAGACAGATGGACAGGCTGTTTGGGCGCCTCTGCCCTGTTTGATATTTCAGTTTAACAAGATACGAAGGTGGCGTCTGTGGGACGGGATCACAGATGCTGGCCCAACTTGTCAACCATCTGCAAGTGTTAACCCACTGTAAACACTGGTAGCTGCCTGACCGGGAATGTCAGTGTCAGGAAGAATTCAATGCCTATTACAGGGTGGAGGAGCCGCTGTTGTTTGAATCATTCAAAGTAAAATGAACAAATAAGGAACCCACTTTTCTACGTCCTTATCCCCCCTCCCCCCTACTGTTTTAACAAACCAGTGTTGAAACAAAAATATTTTCTGGCCTGTGGAGTGTTTGTTTGGAGAGCCCTAATACCACTCGCTGATGATGTTGGTGTTGGATTTCATCGCTCATGTGTCACCATTTTTGTTGAGTGTTTGTTCTTCGTTTTTCAGATTCCCCCTGTACCAGAGAGGAGAGCGATTTCATTTTGAATATGGGGTCTACTTACTGAACAAGAACATCGCCCAGGTAAATGAACACACCACCACAAGAACTTTGATCTGTATGGAAGAACCATCATTCAGGTATGAACACCTTGGGTCAACAATGGACATTTGTTGTTGACCCCAGGAGTCAGTTAGAATGAATAAAACTGGTGTACACACACAGGTGAGCTGCACTTTTAGAGCCAGAAAACATTTACCTCACAGGACGACTGGGCAATGAGTAGAAGAAGAAGATAAGGATACGTCAAAGAAAGATACGTCAGGCTTATTAAAGACGGCCAATGTGTTGACCCGGGTCACTCCCTCTGCTCCTCCTTCAGACATTTCACACTGACTTTTATCAATTTGCATTCCTTTTTTCCTCCCACTGCACCCAGGAATGAAGGGCCTCTTCACAGAATAAGACTGGGACTTGTTTGCACATCCATGCAAACACTCTTCAAACCACTGTCTTTAAAAGGGTTTAAGGTGAAATTATAAATTAACTGCTGACATGAAACAGAAGCGTTTAATCAAAGATGTTATTTTTTCCATTAGGTTTTCAGTGTGAAACAATATGAATGAAACAGAATTCTGTAAATTTTGTTTTCTGTTATCACCATTTCACCAACAAACATATCCTTTTAACATTAAAGGTCTATTTTTCAGTAAGTAACTATCGTGAGCTGAAGACAGTGTGACTTTGAGTGACAGGACGCCCAAGAAACCAAACCCAAGTCCAAGACCACCTCAAGTGTGAAATTCTTTTTATTTAGTCTTTGAGAAAACAGTGTGTAAGTGTAGTAGCTTGTCTGTCTTTTAACGCCCGTGTAGAGCATCAGTCCTTTCTCGGGATGAAATTTCAGCTCTCATCCACGGCCCTGTCTTATGCGTCCCATGTGTGCCTAAGTACATCCGTGTTAAGAGTGAGTTATCAGGTCGACTCAAAAACAATTTATCTGTGCCACATGAGGAGTCCTGCTCCATGTGAGAGTGATAAAAGACTATTGTTTCAAAACTGAAGTAGTGGTAAACATGTCAGTGTTGATAAAACAGAACTGACCACAAACAAAGTTTCTTCTCTCCAAGTTTAGTCGATTTCTGTTCACCACATTAAAACTGTGTACTCCTGTCAGTTGGAACTTAACTTTCTTGGCTAAAGCATCACTCGTGAACTAAGTTTGGGAGTAAAATCAAAGAAAAGCATGAGTAAACTTATTGCTCTCATCCTGTGAAAACTTTGTCGTTCCCAAAATCGATGGCTGTTAGACTTTGTTTTACTCTCGTTTCACAGTTTGAGCTGGAGATGAATGTAGTTTTGGTCCTCAGTTATTATTGCTGTTAATATGATTTCCCAACAGACCGTGTTTTACAGACAGTGATTTTGTGGTTTTGAATTGTACTACTTCATGATTTTAATAGCCTCCGTGGGTTAAGCCATGCACAGCTATGCAGCCGCCGCTCCGTTTGTGTGATGTCTGGCTCCGTGATACAAAGCAGAGGTCTGGTTTCACAGCAGACCTGGCTGACAGGCTGATTGGCTAGTTTGCTAACTGACTGGAGCCTGGGTGGAAGACATTATCTGTCCATTTCTTATTAAATTTCCCCTTTGTGACTGTGTTTGAAAGTGATAGAGGGAAGCTGGTGCAGGATCAGGGCCGCAGCAGGTCACCCTGCTTTGATGTGGCAGTGGAAGAAGTTTGCTTTTATTAGAGCACATGTCACGGGGCCAAGGCCAAAGATGTGGTGTCTGCTCAGAAGACTGGATGTCAGGTGGTAACACACTCCCATGTTGCCACTTCAGATTAATTTGTTTGGAAAAAGAGGAGGTAATTGAGGTTTTAAAAGAGTCTGTGCTGAAGACCAGAAAAAAAAACAAAAAAACAATTCCTTACTTTTCTCCAACAATATAGATCAAAGTTGCTGGTGATGCAACACATGAGCGTGGTTAAAGTTTTCATTTTGGTCTAAAGATTTACATAGAAGATATACAAATATTTTTTAGTTTTGCCATCATCATTTGGTTGTTGTGTGATTTGAGTGTGAATAATTTATTCACATTTGGGCCTAGATACTGAGACTGCTTTGATCTGTATTTACACAGAGACAAATTACCCAGGTTGCCACAGCATGCCACCGTGTTGTGAAACAGGCATGTGGAGCTAATTACTTGACCACTGATGCAACATTAAAACTCCTGGTTTGAAGTATGTAGAGGGAGGAATAACAATTAGTTCTCAGTCACTAAGCTTGGCATATCATATTTACTGAACCTCAGGCAAAGGAAATAGAGTAGATGGAATTTAAACACCCTTGATCTGTTGTTACCCGGCCGGGTCACCTCTGGGTTCAGCCTAATTTCTTTATCCTGGGGAATACGCCAACAGTTTTTTGACCTTTTAGTCAGAATTTTAAACAATGTGTTGCAGGCAGATCTCCATACTGGTGGTCCCATGCATTCACCCGGGTGGCCAATGTGGCTCCATAAAACATGGCTCTCACTCATAGGGGAGTCTGAACAATTTGTGAGATCCAGAGGATTGCTAAAGGAGACTTCTGGAAAGTATTTATCTCCTTTTACTTTGTCTATTTTTTCCTACCTGATTTATTCCAAACCTAAGGCCCTTCCTTCAGATCGATGTGACCCCAGTCTAAAGAGACGCCACATAACGTTGGACCTACCCTTTGCAGCTATCATTCGATTGTGTCGATAAAAACCATATGACTGAGTAGAGTCATAGAAAAAGTGAACATTACACAGCTCCCTTTCACGTCATAACTCCCTTAAACCTCAGAACAACCTGTCAAGTTTAAATTCCTTGCAGAACTCCATCTCCAGCTCTTACTTTATTAGCTCTAAGGCTACAACGAGGTTTCGAGTCTCCTTAGTGAAACAAAAGTGTGTGCTAAAATCGCACATGAACTCAGTTTTTCCACAGTTGACATTCCTGTAAGCAGTTGTGTGTTTACTTTTGTTAGTTCACAAGTCTGTGAATAAGGAATGGCTGTGTGGAAAGAACCATTGTGCAACATAGGTAATCAAAATATGATTAGCATTGTCATACCTTAGGGAATAGTAAAGTAGAAACGATGCAATCTCTCTCACTTGCCCCCTTCCCAGTAAATGTAGGTAACGTATGTTATCAAAGACATGATAGCATGATGGCTAGCTGTGTGTCCCAGCTCAAAACCTAGAAATCCATAACAAAGTAAGGAACGGGATATTTGATTTTTATAGTATTTAAACTAGAAGTTAACAGAGAGAAACTTTATCTGGATCAATAGATAACAACAGGAACTCTGCATATTTCCTTGAAGGATCTTTATGAGAACTGGAACCCTTTTAGAACAGAACTATTCCAGGTTTTCCCCCATGAAGCCTGTTGGTCTCTCCGTATTCGGCTGAGGCTTGTGGTCCGTGACTCAATTCTCAGTGTGTTCCAGAGGACTTTCCAGCAAACAAAAAGGAAGAAAAACAGCCGATTACATCTCCACTGTCCCTCTTGGAAAACAGCAGCCTTCTGTCCTCTGTCGAGCTGCCTCTGCAGAAACCTCATTGGAACAAACAGACTCTTCAATGTTCAGAAATCATAATGCGGCCCACTGTATGCTGTTTGTTTACCTGAACCCTGCACCACTGCTCCCCAGGCTCCGCCACCATCTTTGCTCCGAGACAGACAGGGCCTGGAAGTAATCAGGACATTTCAACCGTTTGCTGCCATTCATTGTCTTTATCCTTACATAACGGCCACATCCGTTTTCTATTTCTCAAGGATTGATACAATAAAACACATAATGGGCAGCAGAGGCACCAGAAAATGCAGCGCCATGTCAACGTAATGTACCTCACTTTTGCCCTCAACAGCACAGAGTGATGGAGAAATGAGGGACCGAATGACGTCCTCTTTTAGGCTGTGCCATAAATGTGTCTTTCTTGCCTTGGCCATGTAATGAATAGCCTGCATCTGCATTCCCCCTTAATAGTGGAAGAGTTATTGAGCCTCTGTCAGACAATGTGTTTTGCATTTGAAGCCCATTAAGGTGCCACTCCTGACAAGATCTCTGTGTTCCACTGACAGTTGAAAGCAGTTCATTAGCGTGCTTTTTGTATCACTTTTCAATCAAGTCATTAATTTAGGCACTGGAGTTAGAGAAGGACGCATCGTTGGCCTGTTTACAGCCTTTTGTGGCAGCAACAGCACATTAGGCTAGAAGGTGTTTATGATGACTGGATTATAGAAAAACGTTGTTTAGAAGAAATAGGTTTGGACATGTACTGAGGAGAAGTGATGAATATGTTGGATAAAGGATGTAAGACATGGAGTGACCAGGTGAGAGGAGAAGAGGAAGACCTCAGAGAAGAGCTGTGGATGTTGTGAAAGAGGACATGGAGATGGAGGTTCATGTCAAAGCAGAGGGGGAAGTTGATGGGGTGAGTTGGAGGTTCATGATCGGTGTAACAACCACTGAAGGGAACAGAAAAAAAAAATCAATGTCCTTCTTTCCAGACTATCTGAATTCTTACAACAATAAATACATCTATTTAAAAAAAAAAAAGACATGCTACAAGTGACAGCAATCACAGCTCACTTTAGAGACTGTTTAGACCTTTAGACAGTTTGGTTGAACAGACTGAGGTGAAACTTCAGTCTAAAATCTCTGCTGTGGAGACTTGAGACGTGAATTTCCTTTGACGTGTGATGGAAAAGGAAAGTTGTTTTGTCGCCATGTAATTCTCTTAAACCTCCCTTTCAAGCAATCTTTTTACCAGCACTGGTAATTAACATCCAGTACACATCTGCATATCTTCATGTGTTTTCTCACCCTCCCTGTTTGAGCCCAGGTTTTCATCACATGGCTGTAATTGTTGGTTACAGTTTACATTTGGTTCTGTTAACTAGGACTTCGGAAAGTTTCTGTTCCCGTTTCTGGGAATAATAATGTAACTTGTTTAGCTTTCCTTAGTTCTAATATATTATTGGTATCATGTTGAATTTTTTTAAAAAAGTACTTCAAAATATGGAAAATACATAGTTAGCTCATTACACTTGGTGGACATAAATAAGCTAGCGTTTACTGGGTTGTTTGCACACAAAGTCCAATTGGAGAGAGAAGAAGAGTTATAAGATGCTTCAGAGAACGTCATTGCACCAACTCTGTTGTTTTTGTGCTCTCCACTCGCCGTCAGCCAGAGGTCTCTGTGATTTAAGAGCACTTTTTACACATCCGCTGTAAGTGTATGTCACTGTTCGTCGGTTTCCAGTTTTGGGCCGTGAGTAAATACTAAGACCATTGGTGTGCTGTGATTAGGCCTGAACTCCAGGGTTTTATAGGGATTCCTCTGGACAGCCACCTATGACTTTATGAACCACTTAAATTCAGTTTAATTGGATTTCCACATATTGTGGTCGGTAGTTCCAGGTTTGTGTATTACCACAAAGGGGAACCAGAGGAGCCTAATCCACTAAATATAAGGGGGGAAATGAAGAGTTACCCCCCACCACCACCACCACCACCACCACCACCACACCACTGTTTGTATCTCTCTCTGTCTCTCTGTCTCTTTATCTAGATATACAGTACATTTTAGAGAAACTACATGTAGGATGGGAGAAGTGATGGATATGACAAACTAATGATCTTTTATTTTCTATTTTTTTGAAGTTTCCATCCACTTACAGTATATGTTCCTTCCTTTCTTCACAACAACACCACGTCCCATATTTATAGAAATTGATTGCCATCCTAAGATGTTACGTCGACAGGTTTATTTGCTTTTAACACTTTTAAATATTTTTTAATTCCTTTTTAATCCACCAGTGTAGTTGTGTTATGGTCTTTGGCCGCTCTGCTCCTTCATTTACTTTATAGTTTAATGTGCTTTCCAGCTGCTTGTTTTGAGTCTGTTCTTCCATTGTCTGTCATAGTACATTCCACGGTATACAAGTCGACTTCTCCAACAAGACCCTTCTCTTAAGTTCATTTCCCTGAGCTCCAGATCAGCAGCCATTTTTTCCTGATAATATCTAAAAATGGCTCCAGTTAAAAGGAAACCAACTCTCAGTAGATAAAAGCAGAGCCCCCCCCCCCCCAACTCCACCTCATACAGTACGTAGCAAATTAAGAACATTTTTCACAGGAGGATCTCTCTTTCTTTGATCAAATTTATGTCACATTGATTAAACATCATTGTTGAAATCTGTTAAAATCTTTTTTTAAATGGCATTCCCTTTGTCTTTGACATTAAATGACTTCAAAGTCAAGCCCAAATGACGCTCCTTGCTCCTGGGCTTTTTTTGGCCCCTCACTTGACATGAGGATGAAGAAGGCAAAGACCAAGTACATTATATGTCAGCAAGTTTTTATAAACTTTTTTTTTTTTTTGTCAAATTCACACAAGTCACAGGAGTGTTTGCGAGCGGAGGTTATACATCATGAGCTCAGGGCTTATTGTGGCTCAGTGACATTAAACAGCTCTTAGAATAAAACAATGCTGGCCCCATCTGGTCAGTATTTGAAAGAAAATCAGCCGTGCTGGCTCTGCGTTAGTCCCTGTATCCTGTGCAGTTTCTGCTTACATGTGGATTTCATTACAGCCCTTTGGCTTCAGCCAATCAGCAGCTTTTTTTATTTACATTATCACAGCAGCAGAGGACCACAGAAGTGTTTGCAGTATTGCTCATTGTCAGTTTAAGAAGGTCCTTGTCCACGTTTTTTTACACTGCATAGGTTTAGAATAATGGTATGTATCTGTCTGTCTATTTTTGTATCTGGCCATTTTGACCAATTACTCATTCCTTTCTTATATTTGAAGAATGTGTACTTTGTGTGGAGGCAGGATGTCTTTATAGTTGCCTTCTTTTGAACTATGAAATCTGATAAATTGATGTTTTAAAAATGCAACTGTACACGTAAGGACAGTAAATGCCAACTTTTCTGGCCTGCATGACTTTGTGATCTTTTATTGGACATTCCTGTAACACAGGTGAAAAACATTCATCCTCAGCCATGAGGTTACATCAAAACCAATATTTTCCTCATCACTTAAGTTGTACATTCTCCTCCGCCTGTTTGTCCAGATTCTCCTTTATAATCCTAGGAGCTAGACAGAGGCCATATTTATTACTTCACGTGTCATCTCTCTGTCTGGATCTTTCATTGCATTATTATTTATTTGCACAGATTTAAATTATTTTTCAGAAAGCTACAAAAGAGGCCTCTGGGTCATGTACTGCATTTTGGCCAGAGCAGATGCGGCTGTATATTTTTTCAGTCTTCTCTCTCACCTTTACATGAAAGTTTGTTCATATACTTCTGTGTACAATTAAGTCAGTCAATGCACAAGTTACAGTAATGGAAAGGTCTTGAGTTTATTATGACTTTTGCTTTTTAAAAATGAATAATACAGTGAAAAAAAGGTACTCTGCTGTCTGGGGATAACCGTTCTGTTGCGTGCCCTTGTACTCTTTGTTTATTTCAGCATCAGTCTTTACTTCATGTCATGTCAGTTCCTCTGACACTTCTCTCCATCAAACATAGCCTCACCTCATCTCTGTTGACCCGCCATGTCGGTCTCCATTACTCTGCCAGAAGAGTGTGATATGGGTGGAGTGTCCTCCACTGTCATCTCCTGATCTCAGCCGTCCCACCGCACCTCTGTTATTAATGAAGTGTCTGTGATGATACCAGACCCACTGCCCCAGCCGACACACAGTCGTTTTACAGTTACTGCAGAAAAAGAGCGCTAATGAAAGGAGCTGCTACATAAACACCAGCTCAGTTTTTTTAAGAAGACAACTGCTGGTTGTGTTCTGTTTATTTTCCTTTTTTAAAATACTGTAAACTTTTAGCTTTGATCTGAATACCTTTTATATTTTCCATCTCGTATGACGCCTGCAAATTATACTTTAATCATGTCGTCTAGTGGCAAGTAATACGAATTAATGGCACATCACGGTAGAGTACAGCCCTGTGTTGATCGTAATAGATATTCGTGTTTGAAGTACACATATATAAACATAGTAATTTGATTTACTGCTACACGTGAAATATTGAATCCAATGTATGGTTTTTACATAAGTTGATGTCACTGGAATCTGTCATCCACAGCAGATTGGGTTTGATTGCATCCCAACAGTTTTATTTGTTGTTGCACTCCAGGTTGTTACCCGTTATTACGCCACGCAGCCTTCCCCCAAAGTTTTTAGACAGGGTTATTGGTGATACTGTTGTTGTTTCCATGGAAACCGGTCCTTTAAAGTTAAAACAAGTCTCTGTCAAGTCACTGCCTTTTACTTTTCACTACAATTATGATGCTGTCCACAGAAACTGCACCCTGCCTAAGTATGCACCCAATTGCAAATATAAACACGATTGCACATGTCGTAATTATTTGTGTCAGCACATGTGTTTGGCTTTTATGTGTTTGGAATGTCAGCCTCACGACAATTACTACAGTCAAAGTATAGCACAACGTTAGTTTGGAGAGGTGGAGAGTTTGGCTCCTTCCCGTGGCTGTGGTAAACCGGCAGCCAGAGACATTTGCTTGGCAGCAAGTACAGCGTAATTGGTCTTCTCCATCCTAATTTACAAGGGATCCTCTGGTTCATAAACGGCCGGCCAACAGCCCAGACAATCTGCATCCCTCTGTAGACTGTAGTCTGTAGACCTCAGTGTGAAAAGACATTATTTACCTTCAAACAATCCCACTATGATTAGTAATGTGTCAGGTTAGAGATTTTGGAAACATGTACTTAAATTTAAAATACTGGATTTATTACTAACACTGCTACAGTCTGCAAATTTGAAGGAAACATTTTCATAGACTAAATGAAAAAGAAAAGAGGACTTAAGGTAGAGTAAATGAAAAAGAAAAGAGGACTTAAGGAAGTTGACAAACTTTTTTTTAACACTAATGGTTGATTGTGTCATAATAATCGTGACAGTAAACTAAAAAGATTAATCAAAAACTCTCCTTTATTAGCATGCTAACTGATGACAGTAAGTATTAAATTTACAGGGATAATTCAGTCAGTCTCTGTTAGCAAAGATGGGGTTGTGGCTCACCAGTTGGTGCTGATCTTTATGCTGGTCCAAGAATGCAGAGAACTTGGTCCTATCACCATCATCACTTAATCATATTGTTTAAGGATCAGGAGAGAGCTGAAGTTTGCCTGCTTAAAGGTCAGTGGTGGAAACCATTGGTCATTGTGTGTCCAGACCTGTCACATAGGGAGAAAAAGACTGGGTTTGTATGGCAGTCCCTCATCGCAGGGGGAGCGGCAATCAATATGGAGGAATATTTGAAATTGTAGGGGGGAGGACAATAACACGGTCCTTCCTTTGCAAGCATTGTGAAAGCATGATGTCATGGAGATATCATGCATGGCTGGTGAACTGGCTGCCTGCAGTCCAGATCTGTCTGATATTAATAATGTCAGAGGCAGGATGAGAATCAGACAGCAGTGATTATGGACTGTTATGTCCTTTAAATAGCAAAACTGCATCAGTCAGTTTCTTAGTTACAGGTTTTTAAGTGAATGTCACCGAGTAGTAAACTGGCTTCTGTTTTGGAATGTGTAGCAAAAATCAATCTTTGAAAGTATGCAACTGTAACTTGGAATGTTGTAATCAGTCTGTCAGTCAGACTTGTAGCCTAACATTTGACATCATGTCTAGTTGTGTCATCATGAAGCTTCAAAGGAAAAAAATAAATGCCAGGAATAAATATATGTATAGTGATAAACACTTCTTTTGGGGATTCACATATCTCAAACCTACAGTATCTTACCACTTTGTAGGCGACTTTAGTCTGTAATAACTAATAAGTAAACTTGTCTTCAACATTTTCATGTACACAATTAATACACATACTGAAACTTCAGATAAAAGAGAATTCACTCTTACGTGTTACTTGATTCTTAACTGCATCATTTTCATTTTATTTAACCAATCACCTTTGGTCTGGAGCAGTGATTATCAACTGGCGGCCTGCAGGCCAACTGTAGCCCACTTTTATTCTGTAGTCATTACTTTTTGTGAATTGGTGAGTGCAAAAAAGTTGACACAGACTTCACATGTACCTTCAGCTTCCTTTAGCAGTGACCTTTTAGCTCATTAAAGTTAGAAACCACACATCAAACCTCACACTCTCTGCTCCATGCTGAGATTAATGGAATCCATTACATCGCTGGCCACCAAATGTTTGGGGAGCCAAAGAAATTAGACTGTACAATAACTATTTGTTTTTGTTCCATCATTTTTTTTATGTTCTAAAATTCCATTTGGATCAGGTTCCTCAAGTATTTGGTCACATTTTAAAGCCATTTAAAAGTTACTTTAGTAGGGAAACTTCTGCGGCTTTTTGGAGAAGGATGAATTAGTGTTTTGTGTTGCATCTTTATGGTACAACTGAAATACATCCATGTACAAATATGGTTACCATTTGACTGGTTGATTTGAGAGACCTTGAACTCTAGATAGCACTCATTTTGATGATGTCATAATTCCTACTCAACCAGTTCAATGTCAGATCCCCATAAATAAATAATCACCAAAGCTTTGCTATGTGGATCTATTGAAGATGGTGGTTGTTGTGTCTAATTATCATTACAAGAGTTTTTTCTCCATTTTTATAGACTTTAAATTCCATGAACTGCAGCCAAATGCAGTGCAAAAATAACCTTTAAATCTGTGCAAGATTTCAAATAAACACATCCAAAAGTCAAAAGAATGCACAAATCAGTCCAAAGACTCATGTTTATGTTGTCTTTGTTTATTGTTTCATTATGCTCCCTTTCAATGTTTCAACCCAACAGCCATTATCTTGCACTGCTGTCTCTTCAAACTCCAGGGCTGATGAAAGCACCAGAGAGGCCAAGTAACAAGTATATAATCTCCTTTAAGGATGTTTAGTTACACCATGCAACAAATTCTGAAAAATTATGTGTTCTTCTTAGTACTAGTAAAAATATATTCTATGTTTAATATCCTGTGTCTATTTTTTGTAGTACTTGTACGTCACAGGATGATGTGTACTTAGCCAGGACCAGAGGCTCTTGGAAAGTTGATGATAATCTCTGATCTTTTCTGTGAAAGCTCAGGACATTTTTATCTTTTGTCTTGTTGCTAGACTCAGTCATTATTTAGCTGTCCTATCTAAGTAATAACTCTTACTCCTGCCTGGAATAGCCTGGCCTGCTACACTCAAAAATATATTGTCCCTTTGTACAGTCTGTACGTAGTATTTATTATTGTTATGAACATTGAAAGTCCTTCCCCGTGTATGTTAAGACAGATTTGACTCCACACTTGTGAATTTTCTCTCTAATCTCCATTTACCTAAATTCTTCCACGTAGCATTCTGATACCTTACTAGAAAAGCAGCAGAATCTGGCTGCAAATCCCTTTGAACTTTGTGAAATATATATTATGTCTGAGCTCTAATCTAGGACTTTGGCTTACTGGGACATGTAGCAGGCATGTAAAACGTGCTAAAGACCAGACACAGTTATTTCCTAGGTCAGTTTGTTAAGTTTGTATCCATATTTAGCCAACATGTACTTAAGTTTTTTGTTAAAACATAAATATAAAAGTGTGTTTTTTTGTGAACTGATGATAAGAGGGAAGTAATTAGGAGTATATCACAGATAAGTTTTTTTTCAAATGTTATTTTAAAATTAATCTCATAAATAATGATTCAAACCAGGAGATTTCAGAATAATCACTTTCAGTAATCATCACATTAAATGCAAATTTTCAAGGAGCAGGGTTGAAAGTTTGTCAGCTACAGCTTTCTTAACAGTTGCCATAAAAGTGTTTAAAGGTGGAGTAAAGAAATCCTAATCTTAAAGAAGAAAAAAAAAAGAAAATAATGTTCTCATTCACAAGAAGAGGATTGGAAAGAACTTGTGGCCAACATTGACCTAGGGTAGACACCTGCCCACAAACCACATATTCCTCCTTTCTCTAAAGACTTTAATTTTCCCCTGGGACACTGTGGAAACACAACATGCATTTAAATAAATAAATTAAAAACACATTAATTTAATTCCAGATAATAAAATGAGTCAGACTGGACTCTAGCTAAATGTGTGCTCTGTCAGCCAAGTCTCTCCATACTAGTTTCCTATTTTCACTCGGCCATAACACCTTTGTACCCTTAAGTTTTTGGCTACTATTCTAAATTAAGATTGAAAATCTTTGGGTGATATTTGAAAAAAAGGAGAAAAAAAGGAATTCTTAAAAAGAAAAATGTAAATCTCCATATCTGCTAGTTTAACCTTGTCCAGAGTCCACCTTGTTTATGTGTTGGGTTACTTGGTTCTGCTCAGTTTCAGTGTTACAGTAGCAAGGGTCATTAACTCGTAGGATCAGAGCGACATCAAGGATGGTTCCAATAGATGTCACTGTAGCACGCTGCTAGACTGATCTGCCCCCTGAGTGACCAGAACATACACAGACGGAATATCCACTCCTTGAAGGGATCTCATTAAAACTGTAGGCATGGCAGTCCCCACCTCCCTGCAGTGATTGGGGTCAGAGGAGACTAACATTGGTCTCTTGTCACTGGTGGTCTTACTAACTAAATTTCCTATTCATCTCACACAGCTTTTCCCGTAATTATGTAAATCTGTTGACCGAATTTGGCAGCAATATGATACTCGGCGTAGTGAAACAACAAGTAATCCTGCAGACGAATCTGGTTTGAATTAGAGTTGCTTTAGAATCTGACTGGAGCACAGTGAGTTCACCACACCTGTATTACATTACCACAGTGTGGAAGAGACAGAGAAAAGGGTAGAGCAGGGAAAGTACAAGCCGGCTAAGGTAATAGATGTTAAATGGAGTGGAGGACTGAGGAGTATGGAATATTTTTAAAAAATACTGTTTTATTACACGCTTTTTGAAAAGGCAACAAAGACAGGAAGTACAGGGAATATTACATTTCACCTGTTAGGAAGTTCATAAGCATCAAATTAACTCTGCTGTCAGGCAAATCTGAGGAGCACTTAGTGATGGGTTTGCTCTTTGGTTAAAACTCTGACTGTGATGTACTGCTGTTGAATTCGGTAGTATCCTTACAATTATTTTATAATCTACCTATCCATAATAAAGTATATTTGTTTATTTTAGAGTATGCTTTCTATATATATTTTAGTTTGGTTTATTAACATCAGATGCTCGATGTCCACCATTTAATTGACCATCAACTTACCCTGATAATTCCTCGTATATATGTAAACAAATGTATTCAAATATGAATTGGCATTGTTACTCCAAAAGACAAATTCTTGGTGCACTGTCTCACAATGACAATAATTCACTTTCACTTAAAACTTATTTTCTGGTCTTATCATCTGGGCCAAACTCAGGCATTGTGTTATTGGGTTTTCATTATCAAAGAAAAAAACAATAACGACACCTCTTGATATTGCATAATTATGCTAATATCGTTTGGCCTGTATCGGACATCCCTAAGTAGCTTTAATTTGATCATGTCCATGAGAATTCATCATAAAAAAAACTCCTATTTATTTTGTGCCAAAGTTAAAAACACTTTTCAGACCTTTACGTGTAGTTCAGCTATTTTGTGATTCATTTGATGTAAGTGTGTTCCAGAATAATAATGTAACAACATGTGTTGTCAATCTCTGTCAAACTATTTCATGAAACATCGAAAAGATCTAAAGGGATCTCCTGAGTATGTAAATCTGCCTATCTGGGGGTTGTACTGCGTCCGACCACTGGGAATGATGTGAGGTCAGTGTGTGTGCGTTCAGAGTTGAAGTCCGCTCTTGAAAAGCTGCCCACAAGAGCTCTTCTGGCAAGCAGAGAAACAGATGCAGTTTAATCTCCTCAGCTATATTTGCGGCATGCAGAGCTGTAAACACAAACAAAAAATAATTAGATCGATATGTCACTCTGTGGCCTTGTTGAAGCAAAACTAGCAGCATTATTAAAGGATTTCACACAGAACACGCATGCACAGACTTTACAACTTCTATAATGAGCAGAGTAAAACTTCACCTGCTGCCAGGAGGAAGTTGGCTGTCGAAGTGTAGCGTGAAGGAATCATCTGCAGACTAAGTTTTGGCAGGAGTTGTTAGCTCCCTAGGTGTAATCGTGACCAAACACCTTGTGTGGGCCATGTGGGTTCCACGCTCCAGCTAAATTGCTCTGGAGGACGATACATGCCCCAGAGCTGCTCTCACAAGCTGATCAACAGTGGGACATCAAAAATGTACAGGGCAGTTTCTTCCCTAAGCATGTCTGTATTTAAACATTTGACAAGCAGCCTACTTTTAGGATAGTTAAAAAATAAAAGCGTACCAAATCCTTTTTTATCATAGTTATTTAGAAACATTAATTAGTGAGATAGAAACATATGGTCATTGATTTCTGTTATTTCTGATTGTATCGATTTAGCATGGCAGCAACATCTTGTGTAGTCTGGAAACATCAGTGAAGCACTCTTACCTGCATGTACGCTGATAAGCATTTTCTGCTTGATTAAGTAGAGCAGACAAGTGTTTCATTTACTTTATGTTTTTTAGTACAGGCTTACGGATCCTCGGCAGGAGATTCACGATACTGAGAAATTGTCATTTCCCATGGCTCTATTTCTTTAAATATGCGGCCAGTGTAAAGGCTAATGTCTGTTTTAACCTTCTGCTCTCTGCTAAAGTATCCAGACAACGGTTCGACCAAAGGGAGGAGCACCTGGTCACTTTAATATCAAGCTGTCACGAGTTCTAACACAGCCCTCTGATTATCTTCCCTGGAGAGCTTTTAGTCCATGTTCTATATGAAAATATATGTCCTGGACAAAAGATCACAGTGACTGTACGTGATGAAGTTTGATTTGTGGGCTTAACATCTTGACACATAATATGCAATGCACTTGATGAGGGTCTCCTGTGTGCAAGATCCTCTCTCGTCTCCGCTGATGATGGAATCCTCTTGTCAAATGATGCTATAAATGTGCACCTGCTAAACAGTTCGGATGTCTGCTCTGACTAGCTTCTTTGGTGACCTCACAGAGGATGTTCATGGGGGAGTTGCGTATGGTACCTTGGGCGCCCTCCTGCACCACATCAACAACAATCACCCTCAAACATCTATGCAGCCCTCCCACATTCAGGGGTCTGATCTGAAAGTGATTGCTACTGACAAACTCTGCGAAAGAGTAATATGTAGCATAAGCAAAGCTGCTTTTGTTTAGCTGCTCCACAGAACTTAAGGCAAACAGGCAGACTTTGCCCAATGATGGGTGGAATGTACTGTAAACGGTCTTGGGCCCGCCAGCTCTGGGTTCTTTGACTGTGTTTATCTCTGGTCATGGCTCCAGTGGATTGGCAGGCTCGGGCAGGATACACTTCTGGTATCTCTCTGATGTAAAACTGTCCTCAACTGCTTAGATGTGGTTTGTCTGTTGCACTCTTTTAGGAAAAACACAATCACACCGCAACTTTTTAACAGCTGCAGACCCTCCAAAGCCTGTGATGGGATTTTCTTAAATACGGATATAAAAATGGAGGGCATTCTTGACACAAAGGTGTGAAGAAATGAGACCAAAACACATCTGCTTCCTTATGTCATCATGTTGAGGACCCCCAGAGGTTGCCAAGGCACCCTACACATGCACAGTCTCACCATTTAGACATCAATGGAAGTTCTGGCCTCTATCTGGTTAGCACATCGCTAAGAATGCTATGGCCAGCAGGAGTGCACTTACCACAAACAGCAGCACACACATTCATCAATAGAAGGTTTGAAAGGGAAACAGGAAATGACAGGAAATGACAGGCATTATCAAGTGGACTGGTTCTAGGCAATTTTTGGTCTGGTCAATTCTTTTTTACATTGCACTATACTAACACTCAAGACATTTTTCCTTGAAACTGGAAGATAATCAACTTAATTGCTTCTGGAACTTGATATTGGACACAATTTCTTTTATTTATTTATTTTTGTTTTCAGCTGTTTGTAATGCCACGTTTTACACGCAGCTTCTAGCCATTAAGCGGTTTCTTTTTCCCTCTGCATGGCAAGATTCTCTGTTTTCCTTGCCGCTACATGATACCACCGGGTCAGTAAGGTTTTTCTGTTTATCTCTGTTGAGCAGAGAGGATGGGAACCCAGTTCCGTTTGCATATTCGACAGGATATATGTCTTCCCATGGCTAAGTTCATGCACATACAATCAACAAACCCAAATAGTACACTCTGAGAAGAAGTCTAATGGAGTTTCCACAAGGGAGGGCCAGTCCAGTTTATGAATATTGATATTCGGAGTCTGGCTGCCTGAGTTCTGGGTCAGCAGTAGAATTGCAGTATTCTGTCTTCCAACTTCTTTGAATGTGTTTAACACACCTCATTGCAAAGAGGGTGTTGCAGGAGCAGACAGACATTAGATGTGTCGGTGCACTGCTGCCAACCCGACACTTAGCGAATTGCTGCAGTTGCCCACTGTCAGGCGTTTGACGAAAATTTAAGCAGGCGGTATCTTCTGTGTTGGCCTGGTCAGAGGCATGCACAGTGAAGAGTGCAGCCAGATTCTTGACAGAAGCAGAAATCATGTACTCATGCGCTTCCAGGAACATTGGCCTAAAGTTGGGTCCCCAATGACTGGCTTAAATCTGGTCCATAGTTCGGTCCCCCACTACGAGCCTGATAGTAATATGACATCACGCCAGCAGTGTCATCAATCGCACTCTTGTCTTCATACATATATAGTTTCAGTTTTTAAACAAGATGATTGGAGGCAGGTTTGCATTCCTACATGAGCTGATGCTATTTATCTCTCCCATACATTCAGACACACAGCCATATAATTAGATATAGTGCTCATCGCAGAGATATTCTAGGGTTGTGACACAGACGGTGCTATGAATACCTGATAAAAGTTTTTACACAATCTTTGTTTCTTAACTGGTTTTATTCTTAATCATGGCCTGTTTTGTTTTAAATCATGTTCTCTTCAGCCAGCTTGTGTACAGTATTATGCTATTTGGTCACATCCTGAGTGTAAACTCTGAGCTATGAATAGGTCTCTGTGTTGTTCTTGAACTGTGTAGGTTATTGAACAGCGCATCACAGGCATGTTTGAAAGGCAACACTCTGCTCTTGTTCAACTCCCTGATTCTGGGTTGCTTTTGATGAAGTCTTCCTCTGATATTGTCAAAGCTGTCAACTCTTTAACTCACACATAAGGGCAGGTCGCAAACAACAGACTGAAGCACTGATGTGGACTCTTGAACACTTTGGAACATGGCCTTCACATACCACACAATTCTCACCTCACAGATTCCACATGGTTCTCTGGCAGCTGCTCATGGAGACTGGGATTTAGCCATTTTATGTTGAGTAGAAATCTGACACACATGCACATGTGGCCTGTGTGGAGTTTGTCAGCGTGACCTTTCTTGTTGAAGCCCTTTCACCACTTGTCTGTGCATTAATCACATATTACAAGAGCCACTAAACACAACAACTGTGCCTTGATTGACTACTGCAGCGGTTACTAAAGAGAAAGGCTGGATTAAATGTGTTGATGTGTTGATGATACACTGATGTAATTTTTTAAAAATCTGTAACATCCAATATCCAGGGCAGAGAATAGCAACATTTGTCATTTGAGGATGATACATTTCTTCTCTGGTAATCCTTTCATCGTCATTTCAGTCACCCCGTACCCCCTGCAGTTTAAAATGAGGAGAATTTTATCATGTGTCCTTCATCCTTTGGCAAGTGTGTGTGTGTGTGTGTGTGCGTAGAAAAGAAAAGAGTGGTTGTTTTGGCACCCAAGTGGAAACAAAACAGATGTCATCTAGTGCAGGCAGTGTATGTGACAGAGGGGCCTCAGCGCTGGACGCTGGACGTGTGACGTGATGTTCCTCTGCTGGTCAGTAACATGGTTTAAATAAACTCTGCAGTACAAGAGCTGGCTTTCTGTGACATCGCTCAACTGTTGGAGATATTTCTGGTATTTCTGACCTGTTCCTTGGTTCAGACTCGAGTGCATCCTTGTAAAATACAGCTGTAAAGTACACAGAGAGAAACTTTGAATGCCAAATGTGGAAGTGTGACCATAATTGAGAAGTGTAACTGGATTTTTAGGTTAACATTTTGCCCTTTTTCATTCTTAAAGCAAATCTTAATTTTCTTGCCTTCAGTATCTCACCCTGTCTTTCCACAAACCTAACATATTAGCACACACGCCTGGTATCAGGGAAGGATGCCCATTTTGTGTCGGGATGACCGATAGTCTGATGGAGAGAGTAGAAATGTGTCACGGTGGAAGTATGTGAGCTGCAGACCTCTCTTGGAGGTATATATCTGTCTTCTCCTAACTACATCCAAACGTGGAGAATGTGGACATGTGTCTTAGTGATAGACCAGTACACACATTTATAGCCCAGTACCATGTTGGAGGTTGTTTGAGGTTAATGATGCACTATGTTTATTTCTCTTGCAGCTGAGATATCAACATGGCTTGACTACCCCAGACCTGCAGCAGACACTGCCCAACCTAAAGAACTTCTTGGAACATGGCCTTCTGGTTCGGTGGTGAGAGTCACACACTCTACAACACTTATACAGTATAATGGCTTCATAAAATATCGAAGCCTCTGATGCTTGATCAATTTTATATGTCAATGTAGTTGATCAAGTGACACCAGCTGGTAAAATCTGTACTGTGGGACAGATGTGCTTTTTTGGTAAGATTTGCATGTTCTTTCCCTCATTACTGACCTTTAGTACGCACAGTAAACATGTCCTTTTGAGAAATAAGTTAACTTGAGACTAAATGGACGTTTGCTCTAAATGTGCAGGGTTTACTTTGCATTTCTCCCAGTGTCCACTGGGATTGTCTCCAGATCAAACAGCGTAGCACAGTGGTGTGGCTTGGGAACTGCTATTCAAATAGCCAGGCTAATGTGAGCTACCTGCATTGAAAATGTTGCACATATATTTATTCATTTAAACTGAAAATACTAAATATATACATCATATGTTTGGGTACTGATTAAATACATGTAGATGTATGGCACAATGTGCTTTGATTACAGTATACGGTCACTACTACAGACTAAAGAATTCTATTTCTATTGTCATTTCTTCATTTTAATTGCTCATGATCTGTCAGCACTCTCTTTGTGATACCTGGTAGATCATGTTCTACTTATTGGACAGCCCTGGCGTCCACCAACATAAGCAAATACATTTTCTTCTGTAAAAAGGAAAAAAAAGATTTAACTGGAATCTTTTCAACAGTGGAATTGAAGGCCATTAAAGTCAGGGAACACATTGCATATTATTTAAACCCTTGCATTTAAAATCCAATGAGGCAAACAGGAGCTGCTTTGTCTCTACTAGGCTGAATGTGCAGATCACCTCCTCTCTCCTTCTGCAGTCCTGTGGCCTTTATGTAACCCTTCACTAAAACCTGTGGCTTGCTCTGCGTCAGGCCTCAGCTCCACTGCCCTGTAAAAGAGAAAACCGGCTTTGATCTCCACTCTACTTCCAGGGTCAGCAAAGGGGAAAATGTGTATTACGCACATTAATTGAATAATCTTTTGTTTTGAAAGTAAAGAAGTCATGAAAAGCCTGAGCCCTGAACCCCCCCAACCCATAAACTCCCTGCCCTATCCTTCTTTAATTGGTGATGGAAGAACCCAAAGATAGCTCAGATGAAAGTATGGACCCACTAACACCCTGGGCTGTGTGTTGGTGTGTGTGTGTTGACAGACGTGGAGGGGTTTTAGGAGGAGTGTTGGTAGCAGTGTAACCATTCCATAGTGGCTTGGCACACTGTGACAAGGACACCACAGGGACTGAAACAAAAGCTGTTCTGTGCTGAGTCAGACGTCATCCCGTAAGGAGCAACACACTGCCTTTCTGGACACACTATTACTCTGAAAACAGACACATATTTGTGGACAACAGAGAGATTAAACACAGAGTCAGTGAATCCTGTTTCACCCCAACCCTTCCTACTTTGGAGTTTAACATTCAGCTGTGTTGTTACAGATCCACCAGTAGTCATTGTGAATAAGTAAAAGGTACATATGATCCAACACAGCCACGGTTGTTAGGCTCACTGTGAACTTGCTGGGTTCATCATTCGTACAAGTTGTTTGCCAGGATTTCAGCCAGTGTTCAGAGACATTAGGCTTACGGGTGTCATCTCATCACTCGTGTGCAGGATAAAGTTTCCTTTGAGACTAGGAGTCTGGCTGTGGCCATAATACCCAACTTTAATGCCTGAACATTCTTCACAAGAAATATGCATATACTCTATATAAAGTCATTAACATGACGATGGAAAAGGCATCCACTCCGCAAAGGACTGACATGGACTATTTGCAATGTAAAAACTGATATGTGCTTGCACATTAAAAAATGTCCTTATTACTCAGTGAAAAGGTTAAAGATAACAACACAGTCAGTGAGCTTATCATGTTGCCCAATATTTGTAATGTTATTTGAAGCATTTCTGAAGCCCATATCCACAAGTCTTACTACTTGGATGGTTAGTTTGGGTGGCATTTACAATAGACACACAGTACTGCTGCTGCACAGGGAGGAAGAAAAACTGAAGGAAATGAAATATAAAGTTGACATTTGATGTTTTTAGAAGCCAGAGGAAGACTAATGGAACCAGTGAATGGATTTTTATCACTCCAGAGACCAAAGCTAAAGGGGAAGGGCAGTATTTAGAGGAGTGGTAGGCCTTGGTGTTTTTATTCCTTCCAATAGATGGGTCACGATAAGAAGTGTATGAGTCTATACTTATGCTTACTCTTTCACCACCCTGATTTCTGAAACCAAACAGAGCAATTGTTAATCAGTCATTAAATCTTTTACTTTTCCTTAAAAAATGGCAGGCGACATGATTCGTCACAAACACTGTTGATTTTTATTCTGTGCATCCCAGCAGCATACATCCTTTGGCAATGTTGCTACAACACTGCAAAATATCAAAAGTTAAATTTGTCTTTACTTAAACCATTGAAGTTTGACTGAAAGTATCTGGTTAGTTATCGATTAGAAAAGTATGCAACGAAAGAAAAATAAAAAATTTGAGTCACTTGAAAGAGTAGCATTGAACATAAAAAACAAGCTTAAAAGTAGTAATTGCAAATAGGTTGTGCATTGCCCCCCCCCCCCCCCCCTTTTCCCCTTGCCTTTTTCCAATCATACAGTAAGTGCTTCACTGCAGATGAGACAGTAATCACTCACTAATCTCTGTACTATGAAGGATATTCACTGATTTTCCTTGTCGTATCATTAACTCAGATACAGTTTCCAGCAGTGGGACCTATGAAGTATGAATGTTTAAAAAAAAAAGCCGCTTGCAGCTGCAGGTAATCATCCTGTACACTCAATGTTAAAGTTGCCAATCCACTTTCTTTATCCTCTCCTTTCTATGGATAATGTTGTAAAAGTTGGGGCTTAGAGGAGTGCTTCCAGGACAGATTTGGGAAATATTTCTTCCTTCATGTAGAGTCAATTCAGCGTGCATTCAGTCTGCAGGGTGAGAGCATTACAGTCAGTGCCAAGTCCCTCACCATGGGTACTCTGAAGGATGGTTTGGAAAAATCAACAGACCAGAAGACATACATCATAGTGGGTTTTTGATGCTAATCTGTCGGCCCTCTGATTATTTTATTGCATCTATTCTTTAAAGAGCTCTGCCATCACCATCAACACACAATACATCAGCGCATACACAGTTAGGCTCTGCTGAAACAGAGACAGTGATTTTTTTTTTTTAAAGATGAGAAAGATGAGAATTTTTTTTTTTTCAAAAAGGTGGATCTATTGAAGTGAAGGAGTAGGAGACAGTACCAGAAATCAATTCTTAGTAAACTTCAGTCTGCTGAGATCAAAGCAAATGCATTCAACATGCTCCCATTTGCTGCTCGACATCCGCTGAGGCCCTGGCAGACGTTCACAGGGCCCTGATCCCTCTCCACTGGGTGGAAGCTTTGCTGCGTATATGGAGGGGGGGGGGCAAGGTGTGGCAGGGCGCCGGGCCAGGCAGATTTAACACTGCAGCTGGAGGATGTGAGCCTCCCCAAAGACCCCATACTGAGTGAAAAGTTCACAAAACCACAGTAGTCCCCATGTGTAACATGATGTACACAAAGCTTTGTGACATTTAGACATCTGTAGTCTCATCAGTGATGGATAGAAGGACATAAATATTCATATATGATAACGTTTGCAGAGATCATCAGAGGAGATATAAGTTTTTTGAATTTACCATGTTCGCAAAAAATAACAGGTGGAATAAGTCCTTTTTTTTTCTTGATCATAAAGTATTGTTTATATTATAGTTTTTCAGCAATAGAAGGAAAGGAAAATAAGAAAAACAGAATATTCTGAACTCCAAGTGGATGATATGTTCTACAAATTTATATTTTCACATTGTTTTTGGGTTTATAGCTATTGGCGTTGTGTACCAAATTCTTTACCTCTTCCTTAAACCGCGCTCAAGATGTACACGTTTGGTTTGGATCATAGTTACTGTGATAAGAAGAGGTCTGTGGAGAGGGTTTACAGACTGAATACCTGGCTTGGCCTAAAATATACCAGGTTTGATTTCCGTGGTGAAAGGTTAGAGAGAACCTAAAATCTGTAGCAGGTTTACGTCTGGTGGAGTTTTTCATGGTGAATAAAGGAACAGGCTGTATTCAGCATTCACTTGTCCAGTCACATTGTTGTCAAAGTCATACAACCTAAACTCTCTCAAGGTAGTCAGCTCAGGCTGCTACTTTGTATTATAATACGTATCAGACATGTATATTCCACCAACAATACGATATGTCAGACTGCTATCATCGACAGACTTATCTCAGCCGCTCTAAACGCACGGATAAAAGTTTTTATAGTCTGTGCAGCGAGGTCAGTGTTTGCCCAAGGTTTCGTCCACCTGCAGTAAAATAACTACGTTGAAAATTTAAAGTTTTGAGACGAACAATGCTTAGGAAGTGCCAAGTGACATCATTGCAAGAAAAGAAGAATGACAGGAATATCTCAGTGAGTGTCAGTGAAGGTGTCAGTGGTAAACGTTGTCTGTTTCAATACAGCATTATACAGTGGACACTTGAACCAGTTATGTTTCGCACAAGGTGTACATTTGCACCCATGCTGTTCAAATGGTATACTGTTCCTTACAAGGGTCTGGTGTCTGACGTGTGCACCAGCAGTGAAGAGTGGTAATTGATTAATCAGGATTAATTACAATCATAGTTTTCTTTAATTAGTCATGATTACTCAAGACTATTTCTGTACACAGTATGTATATTGCTGAAAGAGAAAGACAAAACACAGCTGGTAGTTTTCTTTTCTGGATTCGTTTTCTAATCCAAACTATGAAATATTATGTATATCTCAAATCTTTCCAAAAATAAGTAATAACTGTCCATCGTAACGGTGCATCGGAATGTGTCGAAAACTACTTTCCAAACTCCAGTGAAGCGCTTGTCAGCGGTATTTACGGCCCTGCGCCCGGTGAGGCCGGTCTGACGCAGGCCGCCTCTCCTGAAGTTGAAGCCTCCGCTGGACAACATGATATTTTAGGCTCCCACAGTGCGTGATATACAACTCATGTTGGGGCAAGAATAAGTGAATGTGTGGAATTATTGGATATACAGTACGATGTGCGTGATTCTAAAGTTGCGCCAGAGATTAATATTCACAGATTGATCAACATCATTAACGTGATCATTCCAACAGCCCAACTAATAATGTAATTATTGAATCGATATCATTACAAATGAATTGATCAAAATGACACAGTCCAAGCAGGCGGTGCTCTGTCATACCAACAGACTTTATCATTTCTGTCTGGCTTCAACAGTAATACATTTGTTTCTTTCTCAGACCATTAAAATCAGAACAAATAGATTCTGTGAGATAGCCGAACAGAGGGATGGAATAAAATGCTGAAAATGATTAAAATCAAAGCCATCTTATCAGCTCTTGTCATAAGGACTCACTCAGTTGGGTAAAGGGAAAAAAATGTAGTCACTTCTAAGCTTTTAATAAACGATGCATCAAAATCAAAAACGTGACTCACTAGCATCTGTGTTCGCTTCTGAACATGCATTTTGTTTCCAATAGTCTGAACCACATTTTCCACTTACTTAAATGATAATTGGCTTCTCATGACATCTGTCTCTGTGTCGTTCCAACACAACAGGATTTGAATGTTTGGACTGCCTTCCACAGGGGTCAGAATGACTGCATTTGATATGTCACAGATAAGTGTATGAGACGTTGCATTGATCAACTACATGTTAGATGTAGTACTCTACTATTTGTCTTGGAAAAAAATATGGTTTTAAAAGGGCATCTTCATATTAATAAGCTCCAAAGTGCTGCAACGCCTGTTAGCATTTGCAGGCTAAAGACAATAAATGATGTGCGTGATGAACCTGCAGTGCCAGTTCAACTCTCTGGTAACCAGCTCATTACTAAAGTGCTTATTTACTCAACCCTGACCTCACTTGACCATCTGGCATTTCCATGTGTGTGCGTCCAGTGAGCTGACATTTTGGGTGCAGTATTTACAGGTTGATACCATTAGCACTGTATCGTCAGTCCTTGAATGGTTCTCATTTACTGGATGACAGGCACTCCAGTGTTTGACAAGCCTTTCTGAAAAGCAGACAGTCTCCTGCTCTCAGCTCTGCGCTGTCCTGCCAATGAACCCTGTCAGGACCACCTCGGCAGGGTGCTGGCCTGCGAGGAGCAAGGTCAGGACCCTGTTCACATGCTGTCATGTGTTCGGTGTCCGTCAGACCACGAGCTAATTCGCTCACTGCAACGTATACGTCAGGCATTGCTCTCCGAAGACAGTCTTTCTCTGCAAGTGCCAGGGGACAGGAGAGAATTTACAAGGACATCTATTATAACTGCACGTCCAACTGAACAAGCAGAGATTTGTCCTCAACCAACAGATGTGAGCACAGAGAGGCCCTGCTTTCACCTATGGCCCCAGCCGCACTGTTTCTGAGATAGCCGCCTGGTCACGTGAGGCCAACCGTTAAGTCGTCCAGTAAATTAAAGGTGGCCTTTGGGCTATCAGAAGGAGCGGGTCGGCCCCCATTTAAGTAAATTTATGGCACCAGTAGTGGTGTGGGGCGGAGGGTCCCAGATCCTGAGTCTGTTATCTGTTATGGAAGAAACATGTCTGACATACTTGGTAGGCTGCCTGCTGCGCTCCTCCACTACACAGACAGTGAGTTTTGTCTCCGTGGTCACACAAATGTTTTGTATATGTAGTACGGTGCAGCTGTCTCTGTCCCTGAAAGGGTGGGAATGGACTTTAACTGGAGATCAATTAGAAAGCCTGGTCTACAGTGCACTCACACTGGACTCTAGGGGGCGTGGTACAATGGCTCTAGTGTGAGTGCACCCAAAAAAGAAAGCATCAATAATCAATAACTGTTGAATTAGTTGTTAATTGTAACATATACAGATTATTGTGTGATGAATTACTCATGCACTTCATTGTATAATGTTCCTTTGCTTTCTTTTTCCCAGCGATCGTCATACGTCCAGCTCTGTCCCAGAGGCCTCCAAGTCCCAGCTGGGTATGGCCGCAGCTTCAGATGTGGGTCACCCCCGTCACACCAGCTCCCCAGACCGAGGCCTGAGGAAAAGAGCTAGTTCAGAGGCAGACAGGTACAAGTCCACGCCTCCACACAGCTATAAGACAGCCATGAAGGACGAATCAGCCTCGTCCTCACCTTCTTCACACATGACGTCCTACCTTGATGCCGACGTGGCCTCGACCAAGCTGACCAAGATGACCGAGAAAGACGGAGAGCAGAGACAGGAGGAGAAGGAGGAGCAGAGTCAGGATGAGGAGAAAATAGCCGAGGTGGAGACACACAGGAGTGCCGATGGAAAGGATCAACGAGAAGAAAGTCAAGAACAATCACTCAGCAGCACAGAGACGGTAAACTCTTCCACCGTGCAGGGACCACGAGGGGAAACAGGGGGAGCTGTTCAACACACTGGCACCATGAACGGATCTTTGATAGCGGCGCAGGAGCCTGTCAGCCTGGTCTCAGAGCTGCACTGCTCCGTGGAACAAGCTGAGGAAATCATGGGCACAGAGGCCACCGGACTGGGGATAGGAGTGGGATTAGGATTAGTAGATGAGTCGCGTTTGGAAGACTACCGCTGCATCCCTGTGGACCACGCAGTAGCCGTGGAATGTGATGAGCAGGTGCTGGGGGAACTGGACGTCGCTGGTTTTGAGGAGTTCTCCCGACGCATCTACGCACTCAATGAGAACATGTCCAGCTTCCGGAGACCACGGAAGAACTCTGACAAGTGAGGCAGAGGAGCTACAGAGACAGTGAGGCATAGCAAAACTGAGAGGTGACCACTGCAAAAATATGAGCTGTTCTTGAAAGATTTGCACTTATTGTAAACATTTTTCATATCATTCTCAAGTGTAACAGACCAACGTGGCAGCACTGCACCAGGAAGCTTAATATCTATTTTTTGATGCAAACATTCATTTACTAACAGGCATTTTTAACACTGGATACAAAACATTAATCACACTTTTTTTTACTCATATCGTATTCGTATTGTTTGGCCGTCGCAGGGACCATTAGTGTGAAATGATGCAGAGCTCGGTCAAAAGAACTCTTCATAAAACTCCAAGAAAATGCATCCAGTCATATGACGTCTGCCTTTAACACCACAAAAACCACATTTAAGCTGCTGTCTGGAATTCCTTCTCTTTTGCTAACGTCCGCTTTGTAGCTGCGATTTGCATTTATGATACATTATGGATACATTAAGTGATTGGTCACTTTATTTTAAAGTTACAGTCATGACCGGTGAGAACTGCTTTTAGGGGATTTCTGGCTCCGGATTAGCAAAAAAGTGTTTTGGGATACTGGAAAAGCTCGTCTCAGACTGATTCACAGAGCCCACGCTAAAAAAAAAACAAGAAGAGAAACACCCGTTTAAAATAAGGGCTTCTTAAAGTTCAAATAAAATTTGCTTACAGTGGCTTTAACATCATTTAAAAATCGAGATTTATATTCGAAGTTCTGATTCCGTCGAACCTTGAACCTAGCATACAGCAATTTCTATACTATAAGTAACCTGAGGACTATTAGCAAGCTAGCACCACTCTCTTCTTCTACTGCTCAGGAAAGAGAGAATCTAGTTAAGTGGGGCTTTGAGCGCCCTCTACAGGAGCACACTGTGACGACATAGACTGTCTAAGGAATTAACATTATTTTACCATAAATATTTGAAATTTCATTGTCATACTCGAAGAACAACCGTTTCCTATCCTTATTGGAGGTCACAACAGAAGATAATATTTTATCCATTTTTTATTCTTATTTGGATGCTATATATTAATGGACAACATTGTGTTTCAGAGCCTGCTGCCCCAGTATTTACACTCAAGACTTGAACGACTGTTAGGATGCGCTTTAGCTTTGGTCTGGAGTGCACGGCCGCTGACGACAAGGCTTGTGTGTGTGGTAATCTCCTGAATGCAGCCACGATCCCAGGTCAGGTTTTCTAGCTGTCTCACAGGTGCCCCCCCCCCCCCCTGCCTCTCCCCTTTTGACTGTGAAGGCAAACTGAGGTGGGAGTTGGAACCGTCAGAGACACATTATCGTCCCCTCACCACCAACAGCAGCAGCAGCTTTACCCGATTCTCTGTGTCCACACGGCTCAGGTGACACTATGAGAGTCACTGACAGGATGGAGCTCACAGCACATGGCAGGGGAAGTGCAATTCTAGGTCTGCCCCTCTCCATGTCTTTTTAGTTCAACTGTCCCATTTTAGTGTTGATGTTATTCCCATTAATTTGACCAAAACCTAAAGTCCTTGTTTCAGTTCCTTTGGAATTTCTCAGGCTTTACTCTACATGTTGGTAAAATGTGTCTCGATCTTGACTGATTTCGTCCACTCTCTGTGATAACGTCCACTGTCCTCCTCGTACTCTATGCCTCCTTGCACTGATGTTGAAACAATGGATTATTTATGTCTTCTAACATCATCCAGCTTTACTTTCCACCGTGGCACAGGGCGTCGGCCTTTGCTGTCGATGTGGTTACTTCGCAGGTCCGCAGGTTCCGACGTGGACAGAGGCTTTGCTTCATCCACCGTGATTCAAATGGACTCTCCTGTATCCGTATCCTGTTTCTGTGTCTCAGAGCCATCGCTGTGGCTGCTGAACGTTGAAAACTGTATTTAAATGCGAAGAGAAAACATTTCCATACACAGCTCTACAGTTGAAGTGACCATGTACATATACTTTTGTATGTTTTTTGGAGTTAATAAAGATATGGATGGCATGGATGTACAGTATCTAACCCCCTCCCAAACAGCAGTCTGTCTGTGTATGAGGTACTGACAGGTCAAAAGGTCGGGTGAGGTGTGAAGGCCGTCCTAAAACAGTGACATTACTGTAAAAAAAAAAACCTGAAACCACTGGACTGTGTGGTTTAGTATAGACAGGAAAATCCTTTTATTTTTCTTCTTTTGGAACTGTACTGCCACACGTGTCACATTTTCCGTTTCCTAGGAACAACAATGCAACGGCATAGATAACGAGCAACTGTCTTTCCGTCTCAACCAGGACCGTCTGCAAAATAAAAACAATCAAGCTATTTGCAATAGCTTAACCACTACATTATTTGTTATTATTTATTGTATCTTTTTTAAGTCAGTTAAACATCATTTTTGCCCCTAAATTCAATTGAAGCATAAAAACATTTTTCTTGTTTTATTCAGATGGATGATGTGAGCCTTACAGACTGCTGTTGTGCACTTCACTCAGGACTGCTGAAGTTTCCCATGACAACCAGCACTTCTGTTTTCTTTAACACCATTAAGCACTTAAGTGAAAATAAGCCAACCATCGTCTCGGTATGACTGTGTCACTTTGTTGTCTGGGCTCCAGTTATGTGTCAATTTGTTGGCATTAACCACCGGAAAACAGTAACTTGGGGCATTGGCATTGCTGTGTGCCAGTAATTCACGTCTTTGAGAGCGATTACGGTTGGTTACTGTGAATATATTTACAACTATTATGTGTAGAAATAAAGCTTTGTCTTCTGGCAGCACCTGTTGGATATTTCACAGTCGTTCTCCGGCGGAATTTCAATAATGCAGATGATGGCTGAATTTTCCTTTCCGTTTCCACGTTCACATGAAGCTGTTTCCTGTCACTCCTGGGCCATAAGTGCTCTGTGTCACTCTGAGTCTGTCTGCTGCGGCACTAAGCCCCCCCACCCCCCAACATGTGTCTGAGGGCCTCAGTTCTCAGCCTTTGGGGGAGAATATTTATTCCACACGGAGACATAATTTTAGTGCTATCCCAGAAAGCACTGGGGCATTTTAAGAGCTGATTTTATAGGTGCGTAGTTTGAAAAACCTCTAGTTCTCAGGTTGTTAATGTTGTTTTACATCAATGAGAGCGAGAATGAGGCATTGACAGTAAACAGACGGAGTCACAGTGTCACCTTCACGTTTTACAACCAGCTCAGTTTGAAGAGTTGGACACTGGTACAGTGGACTGTTATCATTACAGCCACCGCATACAACACAACACAACAGAACAGAACTGGCTGTTGGAGCACAGAACTCATGGTTTACACACTGGTAGAGTGCATTGGTCCAAACTTTTTATAAAGAGGACCCAATTTGAGGAAGTGAACATTTATGAGAGCCAACCATTCTACCAACTTTGTGGACCATTTAAGAGAAATTCAAATTAACAATTTTATAGAAATAGTATTACTAATGACATTTTTAAATTTACCACATGGTTGACTTCATCCCTCTGCTTTTTCCACCTGAAGACCAGATAAGATGAAGTAAAATCTGTTTGGGGGTGAGAGGGATCTTGGAAACTGAAATTCATGTGTGCTGGAAGGCCACGTGTGATGTGTTTCATGACAGAGGCCACGGGCCCCTATATAGCAGACCATTGGCCAGAATTGGGCCTTAATGCTCTATTACTTCATCTCTGAAAGAGGTTTGAAGCTTGGGTATAAGGAGCGGTGCCACTTCAGATGTTCAGCCAGTAAAGGCTCCGCAGATGTGACATGAAAAACAGATATTTGGATACGAGGTACACATGCTGTGCAGAAGATTCAATTTCAGTCTGAACCGGTCTCTGAGTGTCGCCTACTCAAGATTCTCAAGGTTTATTCAAGCGTCAACTCCACGGTTCAAACCATCTCGCCGTTCAAATGGTCACCGGGACTCTGCTGTCCTCTCTGAAGTTCTTTGACAGCTGCTGAGGTTAGGCATCGACACGTGTGTTTCCGGTGGAATCTTTTCATCTTGCATTGCACTTGTGATGATATTTCAGTCCCAAGAATTACAGTTGGCTTTCACAGTTTTCTTCGTAAGAACCGGAGTTGACAAACAACATGGACAAGTAGGCCCCCTTGGTCTTTTTTTAGCCTAGGTGTTCTTGATTTGGTGTATTTTTCTCAGATGACAGTTCTCCATGACCTCAGACAACAGCTCTTTGTGTGGAGGTTTCTCCTGTTACTGTAATTATTGATTTATGACCATCCCGTGTGGAGCAGATATCAAAAGTTGCGTAATCAGTATGTACGAGGAGGAGAATAGCCGCTGTCCATCAACACCTCAGTTTTACTGCGGACGTATCATCTGACACACTGTGTCCCTGGTCAAAGTCATTCACTACGTCTCTCTTTCATTCTCTGGCCTCAGTGACATCCTATACCCTTGTCATTATAACAAGCAGGATTTCCCAGGCACTGTAAACCTGTCATTGCTACAGGTCAGACATTCAGTACTTCTATTTTAGGAATGCGTGAACGAATGGAGGTGAGGAATATTTTGGAGCTTTATTAAAATTTGTATCATGTTACACTGTTTCAGTCGTGGGGTTTTTTTGTGAGGATAAAGTTCACTTTTTAAGATTTTTTTTTAAAAATCATCTTTTATAGATTCTCTTATAGAATATAAATATATAACTGGTCCAAACCTGGAGCTCTGCAGTGACAGCAGAAGGATCTGTCATCCCCAACATTGAATCTGCCACCTCAGTGTCACAATGGGAAAAAAAAGCATATAATATAATAATCTTCTGTTTAGTAAATTTAGTCCCATTTAGCACCACAGGTACTGACCCTGTGATTGGTTGACAGCTGGGCTGTCCAATGAAAGCCTCAATTACAACAGAAATAAGCCTATGAATGTAGTTTCGTCTGTGTCAGCTCATAAATGAATTCATGAAATGGGGCTAAAGGTGAAGTAAAAGTTTTTGTTTGGGTTTGAAAAATAATACATTGTGATAAAACTGCCTTTAACCTGACATATTTTCAGTTAGTGATTTAAATCTGCAAAACGTATCCTTAAGTCAATGACTGGCAATGCATGTACTAAAATGTACTTTTAACACCTGTTACCCAGTAACCATAGCAACGGAGTCATAGAGTGACAACTTTGTGTAACATGTTAGTGAGCAGTGCTATGACACACTTCAGTCTGCTCCTCTAGTAGTACTCCGACATAGCTCCAGATCCCTGTAGAATATTTCTACTCATTCATGAATGACTGCAGTAGTGACCGTACAACCGCCCTCTAAATAGAGTTGTTTATTTTTGTGATTAGAGTTCAGCGCTGTGAAGCACGGCTCATGTGGCTGTGAGTATTTTGTTTGGCTCTGCTAAGCTAAATGAACTGAGCTCTAGAAACTACACAGTCTGTGTCACACATTCTTTTTATGTCAATGTGTCTGATTCCTTCCATGTCGCAGTAGAACATACAGAACGTCCTAAAAGTCCAAGAACCAAACCTACGATTCAATTAAGTTCAGTCTTCCTTCTGACTCACTCAGACATTTTTTGGAAATTTTACTAGACAGCGTGAAAATGCAGTTCTGGGAAATGTCTGTAGCGACTTGTGAAGATATTTGCCTGCACTCATGCAGACCTTTTCAGTCAAGGACAGGAACACGTCTGGACTTAGAAGCATGTCTAAAAACAGCTATTAAAAAAAGAAAAAAAAGCTATTTAACTCCATTGACAGGAAGGTGGTGACCAGGATTCATGTGTCAGCCTTGGCCGGCCTGCAGCTCTGCGGTATTAGCTCAACGCTGTTCATTAGTCAGCTGAGACCTCATACTGTATCTAAAACACTTAACTGCTGGACCGGAGTCAGAGAGCAGGCGGAGGGAGACCCAGTAACAAGCAGTCTGGGAGACCCTGCAGCATTGGTGTCCTCTCTGAGGCCCCGGCTGCGTCCACTTACCTTGACCTGCACTGGTCGTGGATCAACATTGGGCTGCGGCCTAGGCCAGCTGTTTATGTCATATCAGGAAGGAATCTGGTTGAAATCCCGTTCTGCTCTTCTAGTTTTTTTACTGGGAAACATTGCTTTTGACTTGTTATTTTGTTTCCCTGAACCTTTCCCAGCCTCTTACCTGACTCAGACATTTATGGAGCTGACTTATTCCCTCCACATGCTACGACCACAAAGCTTTAATGAAATGCAGAGCTGTCCCTCTGATTTTATTGCAACAATATCAGTACAAGGATTAGAGCGTTGTTAGCGGAGAATTCTGAGTGAAACGTGTATGTATGTGTATATATAACAATGGCGTGACAGTTTTATTATGCAGCTTGTAAAAATAAAACCAGTCGCTCAAAGTGATGTCATCATGCTTATGTGAGGATTTCGTGGTGAATTCACGCTTGAGGATATTGTGGTTTTCTATGATTACCTTTGGAAGGTTTTAATGACGTAAGTGACACCTGACATACAGGCGAACAGGGAGAACTCCCCGAACACACAATGGGTCTGAACAACACTTCCCCTACAGCCAACAATGGTGAACAAAAAGAAAAGACATATCACATCAACCAGGGGAAGATTAGGTTTTCTCCGGATGATGATTTGGCCCTTGTGTTGTACGTGGTGTACATGTTTTGAAGTAGATGTACTTACATGGATAACATCATGTTTTCTCCTCTCCTGTTTCTGGGATTGATTCCCTCTCTGTTTGTGCCTTTGAGCTGATTCATGCCTCCAGTCTCATGACACAACAAACAACAGCGGCTTCCCACTGACCTGGGGATTACACATTGTTATAAAAAAGAAATAGGATTGTTTTTACAGACATCTAAATATTACTGGGGATTACACATTGTTATGTCGTATTTGAAGAGAAGGATTTTTAAAAAAGAAATAGAATTGTTTTTACAGACATCTAAATATTACTGCTTAAATGATTCAGTACGAGACTTACACCAACGTTGCCCTGCGACCAGTTTTTAATGAAAATACTTTCATTAAAGTCAGTGCTTATTTTAAAAAAAGCTTACTATAGAAAGAGGGTCACTGTCTGTTTTTACTTTTAAATTTGTTTTATACATGTTGGCTATATTATCTTTCAGTCTGTCTGTCTGTCTGTCTGTCTAACCATCCAGCCATCCATCATCCATCCATCCATCCATCCACCCATCCATCCATCTAACCATCCATCCATCCATCGATCTATCTATTCCAAATAACCCCTCCAAAACAAAATGAGTATCTACCGCACCATTACATTTTTTTCCTATTAAACACCACCGCCAAGTACAGTTTACCATGGAAACAGCCTGACTTGTTCCCTTTTATTATCTCTGGTCTTCACTCAAGGACTCTGCCATAGCGAGAAGCTCCCACACAGGAGGTGTTCTGCCAAGCTCAATATTTGGATCAATTATTCCATTCCTCTTCTGCAGCTTAATCCTATTTTAGGCTTGCACTCATCTGGCACCAGTAGATAGTTTGACTGGGAAGTTGGTCGATCCATCACAGAGACACATGTAGAGATAAACAACTGTTCACGCTCACATTCACACTTGTGGTTGATTTAGAGTGAACAAATTGAAGGAAGACTTGAAAATGCATGGTCGAACAAAAGTGGAGTCAATGAATAGGGTGAGAGAAAGGGGGGGGGAGGGAACCTGAAGTAGAACAGGGAAAGAAATGAAGTTGTATGAAAAAATAAATCATTCACATGTGCGGCAAACTGAATCAGGCAAGTGTTGATGATCTTGGTTTTTATCCAAAGACTGCAACGAGCAAAGAGACAAATCATAACATATGATTGAGCTTTTAATCTTTAAACGTTAGTAACTTCTTGCCATTGTCCTTGTTTCCTCAATGGTTAAATGGGGAAAAGTACTAGACCCAGAACTGGTTGTTTTTGTCCCATGTCTGCAGCTGAATTCACATTGTGCCGCCTCAGAAAGAGGATTCTGTTTTGGTTGTTACTAAAACCGAAGCCACGTCTTAGTTACGCAAACTCAATTCCCTGATTATGAGACACACATGGTCACTGTCAGTGATAATCACAGCTGGCTGGTGTTTAATGAGGAAATCTTCAAAGTTGTTAAAGTGACTGGATGTTCTTTGTGCTAATTTTCCTGTCACGTGTGTAATTTTCCCATCGTATACATCACAGGTACTTTCAGGCTTTTAATCCTAACTGCAGTTACCCACATCTGATGTTCATTGTCTACTGGTGAGAACAGTTACGCTAAAGATCGAGAGTAAGTGAAGGAAGGAAGCCCGTTGGAAGGTCTGTGCCGTGTGTTGTGTTGAAATAATGGAGCGGAGGTTTGTCACTGAGTAGTTCTAGGAAGTTTTGTAAAGATCCGCTCAGCAGGTACTGGACACTCCCGCCTGAGGATGTACTCCAACCTGGCCTGCTACATCTGGGAATTAGTAAAAGTGGGAAGAATGTCCTCCTGGCTGCTAACGCAGCTTTAATGCACCTGAAAACTGTGACTGATTTGCCCAGCAAAGTCTCTGAGATCTTTTTCTTCCTGCCTGGCTGCTTTGCACTAAATTACATGCACTTCTCAAATGTTAAATCTGTTTTCACAGACGGTATTATCTGCCTTTCATCTGAGTGCTGATCTAAGATGTGTATCTGGCAGCTCATCAAACCATTCATCAACTTGTCAAGTTAATTTCTGACAATCATGTCTGATCTCCCCCTCGGACTTGCCAAAGCTTTGTGTGGAAATATGGTTTTGTGTTTAAAGTCGTTCTCGTAGAACTCCCAGCGTTTCACCTTGGCTGTAAACTCCTCCATGAGTTCAGAGACTCAGCGGGGAATATAAATACCTAGTGGTGATGAATCTTTACCAGCAGAGCTGAGAGCTCAACACCCTGTCCACATTTTCACTGTGCTCAAAGGCATCCCAGGTCTGCTTCCTCTGCTGTTCATTTATAACCAGCAGACGGAGAGCCAGCAGACAAAGATCATTGTGTACCAAAACCTGGTTTTACTGCAAACAAAAAAGGATTAAGTTAGCACAATTCTAAACCATCCTAAATTACAGGTTGTACTTTTTTGTGATCAAATTTTTAAGAAAGATAGTTAAGAGTGAGCACCAAGCCTCTATTGCTGTTTTTTTTTTTTTTTTTTGCTCATTGGATTCAAGCTGTCAACAACTCCAAGTAAACAATGTTCAAATGTGTCATGATTCTCGGAAAAAGAGTGACTGTGGAGGATTTTAACGAGTGGCTTTCATTTCAAGTCCAGCTAAACTAGTTTTTTGTTTTTCTTTGTCTTATCATCCAGAAGAAGGGTTGCAGGTGAGTATAGTATGCTTAAAAACAATTTTAAAAAATAAATACATAAATTAAAAAAATATATATATATATGTCATGACACCCTTCTCATTTGCAGCAGAACACAGAATAAACGACCCTGGTCTTATCAGTTCAGGTCCATTTATAACTGCATAGACATTTAGGCAGAGCTTCACCTCTGAGCACTTACATCAGGAAATACAGGATGCATTTGAATTCATAAATATTATCAAAAAACTCTTTGGAAATCCCAATGGACACTGACCTACAGTTTCCGTCTGAGCCCCAGCTAATTACCGACTGTGGAAGGCAGCACTTATAAATGAAAACAGAGTTGGACAATAAAAGCAAATTAAATGTGTCAGGGATAGAGAGGTTGTTGTGGATCATCTGAGCAACACGTGTTAGTTTAAAAAGATCCAGAAACAAATATTTGAAGGGCTTGGAAATAGAGACATGGCTGCTTTAGATTTAAATACAGCGCTGTCATCACAAATAAGCATTAAGGCTAAAGTCCTTTAATCCTTTTTAAAATTCTTTGTTCCTAATGTTGTTGGCATTTTACCTTTGCCCACAAAATGGTTTTGAGAACTCCCTATAATGTTTTATATGCGTGTTTATGTATCCTCCTCATAGGTTGAGGTGAGTGTGATTCATATAGTGGGTTAGAATTACTAAAATCCCCAACATGCTACAGTTTGGAGCGGAGATACTTTGGCTGACCCAGAGGAACATGCAGCTAATTGATGCCATAGTCCAACTCCTGTTGTGTTCAGCCTCTCTCTAGCCTGCTTCACATCCATCTTGGCATTTCTCTCTCTGCACATTTGTCACATTAGAGGTGGATTTAGTCTGCTTATTTTCTCCCTCTTAAAATTTAGCCTTACTTTTAATGAATACATAAAAATCTTGGAACCAATTTAGAATCTATAAAGACATCACTTAAATTGCCCCGAACTATTCATTCTACACAGTTGAAGGGGGAACACAATTACACACAGTGTTCCAGATGAATCATTTGGTTTGAGTGAAATGACGAACAATAAATCACAAGTTGTATTTGCAGACAATAAAACAGACATGTCATATTTCATGAGTGTATAAGTCTGTCTATGTTGGTGTATAATGGTGTAAGTCTCATTATTCTCTCCATGCTCTCATATCACTTTATTAGACACAGAAATCCTCTGGCTTGAAGTCACTCGCAACTTTTACGCCCTCAACACTTTCATTTCTGCCGGGTTGTATCTTTTCATTTCTCATTGTGTGATAAGATGTGGTGTCGTTGCATCATCTGCCCCTCCGACCCCCCGCCTCCCTACCCACTCACCCTTCCCTCTCAGCCACTCATCTGTACCAAAGTGCTTCCACATAGATGTGAGAACGCAGGCACGGTGTGTCAGCGTGCCCAGCCGTGGCCCTAACACACACTGTTCCAGGATATCAAAGTCTTGTCAAACCTACTCACTTTGCTTCTGTAAGTCCGTGACTTTGTTGACAAGCTCTGTCCACATGTTCCTGTTCCTGTGCAGCTCTGAATCTGGTAACTTTACACATGTGTTACATGTTAATATACGGGCTCAAACATGAACGGTTTCTGGGTAAACAATATGGACTGAAATTTTCGAAGGTTCACCTAAAACAAATGGACCTTTACACTTTCTGCATTCACTGGCAGAGGGACATTTCTGAATTATTTGAAATAGAAAAAAATGACAAACCAAGAAAGAGAAGAGAAAGAGATTTGTGGATGTTGTGAAAGAGGACATGGAGATAGTTGGTGTAAAGAAAGAGGGGGCTGTAGATATTTTAAAATATAATATTGACTATATTTAGTTATATTTGCATATATACTGCAGTGTATTCTTGCATTCATTTTGGGGCAGGTAAGATAAAAGCAATAATTATATTTTCTAAAAATCCTATACAGTACAAAATATTCTTCCAGACTTGTGTATCATGGCAATGAAAGGCAGACGACTGCATGTCAACAATATCCGCGAAGCTGCTGACAACCATGTTGTCTTTTGGTTAACGTAGTGTCTGTTTTAGTGTCGGTGTGGCTTTTCTTAGGCTTTGCGAGCTGGAGTGTTGTGCATTAGTGACGCACGACCTCCCGCCTGCATTTTGGTCGGCCCTGTGCACTGTAGACAAACCCAGAAGACAAAGAACACTGTTCCCGCAGAACAATGAGGCTTTACCACAGCAGCAGCAGCGTGAGTGTGGGTTAACAAGGCGGGAAAGTCCTCTGTAGGTCAATAAAGTAAAAGAAGGAGTGGAGAACTTTGATGTACGTCATGGGCGTGTTTTATGTTAATTGGAGTATATGCTCTGCTGCATGTAAACAGGACTGTAAGTGGAACAATAAGGGCCCAAACCAGAATATATTGGTTACATGCAGAAAATAAGAATCTTTTATTCAACATCAACAGCATGTTACTGAGGTCACTGTATCTCCTAGGACTTTGTTCCAAGGCCAATGGTTTGTTATAATAACCAAAACATGTTCCATTTTCAATGCAACCTGACTTCCATCAGACTAAAGGGAAAAGAAATTATCGAGACTATGGTGACCTTCCGGAACCATATGGTACACTTTTGACTACAGCTGGTTAAGTGGTTTAATTACAAGGCTTTTAGAGTTTTGATGATACATTTGTATTTGTTTCTCTGAGTTTTTGAATTTTTAATTAAACTTCTTTACACAGTGAAAACATCTGTTTATCAGGTTTAGTGGTGGCATTTTGAGTTAGGAAATGTACCACAGGACTAACAGGTATAAACTTGAGAGATATATCAGTCCACTGACTACTGGACATAGTGAGATTTGGTGTCTATGTAGGTTTTCCATATTCCTGCTCCTGTCCGTATGTTATGGTGAAGTTAAATACAAATTATCCTTTAAGATAATAAGGATATTATGATTTAGGGAAGTTAAAAAGTATTTGTTCTTTTGTATGAGAGTTCGCGACCTTAAAGATATACACTTCCGGATAGGAAGAGGAAGAAGCACAGAGTTGATGGCTTGATGAAGATAACAGAGGAATTAGATTTGTTGTCGATTGACAGCTCGAGAGTGTGTGAGTCGGACTCTCCAACGCAATAGAATTGCGCGAGACGAGTTTGGCTTGGTGACTAGCCGGAGCTGGGCTGACGGCGCGGTTTTTGTTGATAGGGGACGCCACCTGCCCGGACGGGAAGTTCGTCGCTTCAAGCAGTTTCCGAGGAAGACCGAGGCCGTCGCTGCGAGCTGGTTGCTGTTGTGACAAAGGAGCGATTCATTCATTTAACGCGGCCTGGTTCATCAAGTTTCACCGACACACGGAGGTAATGTTATTAAAGGTTTTCATCATGAGCTTCAAACGAAACAAAATAAAAATGCTCTCAAAATAAGACCGTTTGAGGTTAAAAAAACCAACCCCATATCATTACCTGGGTTTCCATTTTGTGTTTTCCTCTTTTCTATAAAATGTTTGAATGCGTTTTCTACTGCATGTCTTACCATTTGTTGGTATTATTGAATTGTGTTTTAATTCTGTATTATAGTCCTTAAAGTTTATTCCCACATTTCTTTAAGCAGTTATTCACAATTTGAAATGCCTCTCTTACTGAAAGATATTGAAGAAGGGTTAAGGCTTCATCTTACAGCATTAGGTGGGTTTCTTAATTCACAAGCCAGCGGTAGAAGGGCTACTCAAGAAATACCCAGAGGTGTCTACTGTACCACGATACACAAATGAGAAGGAAGTTATGACAAATGTTGGCAGGAATTGTCTCTGACATGCAAGAATAAAAATATTCGCCTGCCAAAATTCTTTATACAGCACCGACTGAAAGTTATATCATATTGCTGTACATGGATACAATTAGACAGTTCATGCTCAGTTATCAGCCAACAGGACACATTTTCCACACTTCCTGTTGCTTATAATTGCTGCAAAGAACACTGAGTATGGCTTCAGTTACCTCCTCACATGTGATAAATGTAGCACAGTCCATGACTGCCAGGAAGTTAAATGAGGATAGCATGGCACGTCTGCTCCCTCAAACCTGCATCCTTGTTGTTTTAATGTGAAGAGGGTCTCGTTCTTATCAATTACTGTGTTTTTTAGAGCAGCGCTGGAGACAAAGTCCACATACTCCTCTATCGTGTGATACGGGGAGGATTATTTTTGCTCAAGGCAAATCCCTGTTATTCTAGAGGGCCTCATGGTCTAGTTTTTCAACAGGGGGAAGAAACATGGCAGACCTGTGTTTTGAAGACCCGTCCAGAAATCTGTTCCAGGGCTCTAGCCCAGCAGCCACACTGACAAACAGCCGTAACCAACCTGACCTTCCCCTCCATTTCCCCTGGAGAGAAACCCAAACAAATGTTGTTATTCAAAGACTAATAATATTCTGGTATAAATAGGGAATAGACGGTTTGTGTCGGCAGATGCTGGACTTTGAATTTCTTAAAAATTCTAAATAAACCAAAAACTAGAGAGACATGATAGTATTGCACACTGTACATTAAGGTGTTTTTCAGATGGTTGAAAAGCTTTTGTTAAAAGACCTATGTTAACTCAAAGACATTACAGATGCTGTTTTAATTTTTTTTAAATTAAATTTTTACTTGCTAATGAAGCGAATCATACACAGAATTTCCTCTAAAAATGCATCCAATCTAGCTAATACGTTTCCCCCTTTCAAGAACAATATTATATTACCAAAGGCCATTTCCCTGGATTGTATTTCCTGTTAATTATCAGGAAATTGCAGTCCTGCCAAACTGACAGTGAAACCAAACTGCAAAAATGTTGAAAACTAAAAGGTTTATTTTTTTTAAATGTTCCATTGTATACATTATTCTGAAACACTTTGGGATTCAGGATTTGATGGCTACTTATTATTCCCATGGGGAAAATAAAGTTGAACAAGAATGCAATGTCCTCTAGTGTAGCAACAACCATTGGACCAATTGTAAGTTGGACTAGATTCTCATAGTTTAGTCAAGGACCAAGGAAGGAATGAATAATACCTCCAACATTCATGGCGGAAGGTTTAGTGTTTAGAGTACATCAGTCAGCCATTAGTAGCCCCTGACATGGACATTGATCAATTCTTCAGAAAATAGTTAAATATTGAAATCATGAACATAACTATTGTTAGTGGATGGAACTGAAATCAGACTTCTACAAGAGTCTAGTACAGTGTGAAGAATGACTGGCAACATTAGACCAAAGCTAAGCACATAACAAGTCCTTCCATGATGTTATTATGTTGTTGTAGCAGCTCTGGGTGAAGGGCAGTCTGATTGTGCTGCTTTAATCTGTAGAATGATCTAATCCTCAGAGGGAAAACCAAATGTAGTTTTTGGAAACGGCTGCACACATTTGCCTGTTTGTGTTTAATGTTGGCTCCGTCCATTTAAATAATTATAGTGAAT